CTAATGCTATAAGTGTGAACATCATAGTTCAGATGATCAAGTTGGTCTAAGGCACCAAATTAAGGTTCGGGTCTTAAATGGTATGGGTTCACATCCCACTTTTAACCACAAATGTTTTCAGAATTTTTGTGGTAAATCAAGATTTATATTATTTTCCATCCCTGAAGTTTTTTAATAAATAAGGATGCTCTCAATAACCCAAACTGTTCATAAGTAGTTCTCTTACATGTACAGTAAACTTAACCTATCGAGCCACGATCTTGCAAATAGCCTATATGAGATATAGTGAGAACAAGCTTTTGTGTGAACAAGCTTTTCTGTTCATCTTATATGGTTGGCCACCTTACATTGCTTAAGAAGTGAATTATCAGTATCTATGTAGGTGAAAGGTGTATCCTCATCATTGTATCACAAACTTGTAACATCATCTATGAAAGGTTAGCTAGTAACCACTCAACAAGACCATAAAGTTCCACTTAATTTTGGGAGGGACCTCATGTGCTAGCCAGCTAACTAATGCTACCTGTGTGGAAATGATTTTTTTAGCTAATTCAATATGTCTAAATTTTTGGGAACTTGACCAAGGAGAGCTAGCAGCATAATTTCATGAGATAGAATTAACTCGTTTCAATATAGAGGAAGTAATGAGTGTTACTCAAGTGTTGTTTTCAAGACTTAAACAATTGGTCCGAAAAAGTCTTCATTTACGGTAGGATCATAAACAAATAATTTATAATATCCCAAGTACGACTAAAGGAACTTAAGCATACTTATCCCAAGTAAGATTAAAGTAACTTAAGTATATTTAAGGTGCTCATGTAAGGTTTAGAGGATTCAAGTAAATTAATTAAGAGATGCAAGTGGGAGAAAATGCATGAGTATGTGATGCCCTAGTTTATTGTAGGTTGGTTCGCCCAGTACTTGAACCGCTCCCGAGGATCACGAACTAGGCGAACCAACCCTTAAAAACGTTGAACCGTACCCAAACGGCAGAAAAAATACCCGAACGGCCTCTTCCATCTTCTTCTTCGGTTCAGCTTGCTTTCTCTTCCATTTTCGATCAATTACAACCTAAAATGGACTCTAATGACTCCATAAAAATTACAGACCTTTCTTCACTCATTAAAACCCATACACATTAGGCGTGTTACAATAATTGTATTAAATGGAAGCTTAAAAAAATGCCAAAATTAAAAACATCCACCTTAGCAACCACAAAATTTCATTTATGAAAAGGTACCCACCGTGCTCAAATTAATGTAAATAAAGTGCCTAAAACTTGCTCTGATACCAATTGATGGAGTTAATGTAACACATGCGGAAGCAATTTGGATCTTAGGCCCTCTTAAAACATCAATTATAGTAACTAACTAGCATGTTCATAAGTATTAAAACACAAGGTCTTTGAGTACTAACCTTTTGTAGTTCAAATTCCTTTTTCCTCACGAACTGGTTTCGAACTACCACTAGTGTCTTCTCCACTATTCTTCGGCAACTTCTACTATCAATGACAAGACTACAAGCAGTCCCCTTGACGAAACACCGCGTGTGAAATAGGTTCTCTCTTTGATCATCAACATCATTCTCTGTAACTTGAGTTTTAAGAAGTCTTCTTGTAATAAGTGCCAAATGAATACCATCTTTCAGTTTCTCCTCATCCTTCTAGACTTCTTCAACTAGATCATTGATCTCCCCTCTATTTTTCTCGTCTTGGTTCATGATTGTACAAACAGTAGTTTTATATGCTTAGGACTTCACACACTCAACTTACTGATTTTACACTCAAGAACACTCGTGTTTAACACACAAAGGTAGGCTATTTGGGAAAGTGACTAATTTTTTTATCAAGGTAGGTAATATGGATAAAGCAATTCTGATAGTAGCGAGCTATTCAAGACAATCAAGACAAGGTAATTATGCAGTAACAACAAAATAAAACAAGAAATTTACAAATAAATAAGGGACAAAGATATTTTTGGATATAATTGCACACTGAAAAAAAAAATGAATTCCAAAGAGAATGGTCGTGAAGATCGAATACAACAATTCTAGATTTATATGTTTTAGGGAAAAATGAGAATTGGAATTTATTTGATCTTCAAATAAACGTGTAATGGTCTAATGATAAGGATTTATTAAGAACAATATGATAAGGATTTTTTTTTGTTTTTTTCTTTTAAGATCTAAATATGATCTTTAACAGGACACTAGAAACAAAGTAGAAAGATAATGAAGAACGAGGGAAATGGCAATAAGAAAATAAATGTCAGATTTAAAGAGATGATAAATAATAGCGGAAATTAAAGATAAAATCAATTCTAGAGTCGACCACAAAGATGCAACCTATGCTCTGATACAAAACTGATAAGGCAACCCTAATCCTTAGCCCAACGATCCAAGTTTTTGTTTTAGCAAGAACCCTTGAATCAAAGTAATTAACACCTCCTTAAACGAAATTTGGATCAACCAAGAGATAAGGCTAGAATTAGATTACCTCTCATGATCAAAGATCTAGAAGACAGATTTGGAACCTTGTTCTAAATTGAGTCACTCCACAATCTAACTTGATCAAGGCTTGATTGAATGGCTCGGGTGCAATTCTACCACACGAATTACTTGAAACTTAGATATGGCAAATATGATGCTCGGATTTCTAAGGGAAACGTCTCAATTTGAGATCTAAATTACATTCATCCACGAATTTGAATTTTATATAACATATTTTGGGTATTTATAGTCTCCCGACAAAAGACGTTTGTGGACGAGATTTATTCGAGACGTTTGTGGATGGGATTTATTCCCGATCCCCTTTAATCTCCACAAAGAATAAGTCAAATTGACCATTTGACTTTTACATAATTTATGAAATTAAACATAGTTCCTTCTAAGAAATGTTGATGTGCTTGAGTGGTTAATGCGATAGGTTTGAAATTTATTGAGCTCTCCGCGCGTAGGTTTGAAATCTGTTGTTGACATATTTCTTTTGAATCTTCATGACATTTTTTGAATTTTCTTGGCAATATGTTCATTTTGAACACCATGATTCTTATTAACTTGTATCCAGATTAATTCGGCAGTGGCATTAGCAACCGCCTTGTATTTGGCCTCCATACTAGAACGAGAAACTGTCGATTGTTTCCTTGAACTCCAAGAGATAAGATTACCGCCAAAGAAGATCACATATCCTCCAGTGTTTCGATGATCATTAGGATTTCCGACCCAATGAGCATTAGAGAAGGCACTAAACAATCAGTGCTAGACTTTGTAAAACACACCCATATTAATAGTGTCATGTAGATAACGGAGAATTCATTTGACTGTCGCCGAATTTACAGAAGCTGGGGAGGACATGAACTAGCACATTTTGTTGACACAGACGGAGATATCAGAACGTGTCAGAGAAAAATATTGGAGAGCACCAACGACACTCCAATAGCGAGTAGTATCCTCGGGCGAGAGCTTTTCACCACCATCCAATAACAACTTCTCACTAGGAAGCATATGCATGGGCACACCTTTGGAGATGAGCATATTGGTTTGGACAATAAATCTTGAATGTATTTATGTTGTGTCTGAATAAGAACATTGGAAGTATGGCAGACCTCAATCTCAAGAAAATAACTCAAAGTGCCAAGATCTTTGACAGAAAAATCATCCCAAAGTTGTTTAAGAAGTTTCTTAGTAGCCATAGAAGATGAGTCGGTGATAATAATATCATCAACATAGATGAGGATATACATTTGAATGCCCGTCTTGTTAAAAATGGAAAGAGAGACATCAGTTTTTGAAGGTGTAAAATCCAGCTGTAATAGTTTGGAGCCAAGCCAGGAAAACCAGGCACGCGAAGCTTGTTTGAGGCCATAAAGCGACTTATCTAGCTTGTAGAGATAACCAGGATGTAAAGAGTCCCCAAATTCAGGGGGCTACTTCATATAAACATCTACATTATGTAGGCCATGAATAAAAGCATTCTGTATATCAATATGACAAATAACCTAACCACGAGAAATAGCAAGAGATCATAAGAGTTGAATGATTGTTAGTGTAAGAGTGAGTGATTGAATGGTCGATGAAAAGATTGTATTATGAAGAGCAAGAAGACGATATATATAGAGAGAGAGAGAATACAAAAATATATTTAGAAAATCTACCTAAAAATCTGCAGAAAATCTAGTAACAAACTAGTAAACAAATCAAAACTAAATCAAATCCTAACTATAAAGAGATTTAATCAGATACTAACTGACAGCATTCTAAACAAACACGTGATCTTTAAGACTCCTCCTTGTTTAGATGCTGTGAACTCCAAGCTTTTTTCTGAACACCCATCTTACTCCTATTATCTTTCTGTTTAGAGGTCGATCAACCAACTCTTAGGTTTTGTTTTTCTCAATCACCAAAAGCTCCTCCTCTGACAGGTGCATCATCAACCAAAGCATCTTATCGTTCATCATCAGACTCTTCTAACATGCTAAACAAGATTAAATTGTTTGGTGCATTAGAAATCTGATTCTCCTTTGTTAGTTCTTCCCAATTCCATTGCTCATTTCCAGCAAAATGAACATCTCGGCTCACAATAACACGACTAGTGTGTTGTTGAAAAACTCTATAAGCTTTGAATATAGTGGTATACCCAACAAATGTTAGATAAAACCTGATTTTTCCTTATTTAGATTCACACGATTACATTCATTCTCCGTTTGACCATTTGACAAACACGTCGAATGGATTAACTAAGTTTTAGACGGCAATTTAGTAAGAAGTGGCACAGATTCAGTTGGCCACTCTCCAGCCATTTTTAGGATAGGTTATATTTAAATAGGAAATCTGTTCAGAATATTTTAACAACCTGAATTAAAGGCGCAGTCAAAATTTCATCATTCTCTCACTTTCTTATTTTACGCATTTTATTTTTCTTCCAACAACCTTTGTCGACAATTTCCTTTCACCGAAAAGAAAGGATTTCCCGGTCGATTATTGAAATCCAACAAGTGGTATCAGAGCCTGGTTGAAGCCATCGGTGTATATCATTGCGGAGGAGCCAACCTATCAACAATCAAGTTGAATAGCTCAAGTGGTTAGAGTGTCGATCTAACAACACACAGGTCTCAGGTTCGAGTAGAAGATAATGCAAAGCGCAAAAAAAAAACACATCGTGGGGTCCATCTCGAGCAGGCTCGCTCACTCCTCCACGTCGCCAAGTGCCGGCATCTCCATCACCACCACGAATCGACAATCGAGAAAGCCCATGTGGCTCAATCCGAGGAGGACGAGCCGGCCCTTTTCATAGTGACTGCATCAGTCCTACCTGACGTCCTTAATCTCAAGGAAGAGCTCCAATTGTGCATAACAAAGGGCACCCTGGGGAGAGGTGAGCAGCAAGAGCACCGGCAATGGGTCCCTCGACACAGGGGGCAACAAACCAACCATCACAAGCTCGGCGATGGCGTCGTCGAGATCGAAGGGTACGACATCGTCCTGTTCGTCGGCAAGGAAAGCAATCATCACAAGCTGACCGGCGTCTACTTCATCTCGAGACTCAAGGCTAATATTGTGAGCCTGGGTCAACTCGATAAGTTCGGTGCACGGCAAAACTGCCTTTCCATCTTAAAGTTGGAGATAGAGCAACCTCTCGGCCAAGTACCGAAAGATGGAAGACCTATTAGGAAGAGGTGAACCACCTGGACCTGGCAGCGCGCCAACTCGAAGAAGAGGCGGCCGAACAAGACGTGGAGTCTGGGGAGGACATGCCGCCAGGGACACCGAGCACTTAGGATCCGCGATGATCGACGGCGGTTGCTCACGCAAGTTTGGTGCACGATAAACTGCCTTTCATCCTAAAGCTGGAGATAGAGCAACTAGTCAACCTCTCGGCCAGGTACCGAAAGATGGAAGACCTATTAGGAAGAGGTGAACCTCCTGGACTGGCGCAAAATTTCATCATTCTCTCTCGTTCTTATTTTACGCATTTTATTTTTCTTCCAACAACCTTTGTCGACAATTTCCTTTCACCGAAAAGAAAGGATTTCCCGGCCGATTATTGAAATCCAACAACAAAGATGTCAGTTTTTGCCTTTTTGTCATGCTTATCACGCTTGACCTGTGGAATGTAAGTGAAGCAAAGACACCCAAATACTCTAAGGAACTTTAAAGAAGGTTTGTAACCATACCAAAGGAACTTTAAAGAAGGTTTGTAACCATACCAAAGGAACTTTAAAGAAGGTTTGTAACCATACCAAACTTCAAATGGTGTCAGGTCCTTCACAACTTTTGTTGAAATTCGATCTTGCAAGCACACAACAGTGTTTGCTGCTTTTCCCAAAAAATGTTTTGGAAAATCCTTCTCATGTAGCATGCATCTCGTCATCTCCATTATGAATCTATTCCTCATTTCACTAATGTCATTCTGTTGAGGAGTGTATGGTGCTGTCACTTGATGTTCAATTCCAGCCTCTTCACAGAACCTGTTAAAAGTTTCTGAAGTGTACTCCTTGCCATTATCTGATCTTATAGTCTGAATCAAGCATGCACTTTTATTCTCAACTCTAGCTTTGAATTTTCAAAATACACTCGCAACTTCTGACTTTTGCTTCAGCAAGAAGATCCAGCACATTCTTGTTAGATCATTAATAAAAATAATGTAATAAAGATCATCATTTAGTGATGGTGTTCTCCGAGGACCACAAAGATCAGTATGAACCAGTTGGAGCTTTTTCGAGGCTCTCCATGCCTGTTTAGGAAGGGGTTGCCTATGTTGCTTCCCAAAATTACAAGCACAGCAAAGAGGCATGCCATCAACAATGTCAGTGAGTCCTTCTACCAGCTTCTTTGACTGCATCTGAAGCAAACTGGATGAATAAAGTGCCCAAGTCTTTTATGTCAATTCTTAGTGGCACTAGCTCTGAATATAAAGGTCATATACTCTTTCTCCATCGAATTTAGAGCAAAGCTTTTTCATTTCATTTTGACATTGAACAAGTCTTTGCCACTTGCATCTCTTATCAAGCACTACTTATTATTAAACAACATTTTATAGCCTTAATCAAGTAACTGACCAACACTTAAGAGATTTTGACCAATTTTAGCTACAAATCAAACATTTGTGATATGAATCCAACAACTGATCACTTCCATGTACCTGAACGAACAATTACAAGAAGCAATACAAAGAAGATTCAAGTATCAAATTAAGAAAATAATGGAGTGGCTGACATTGGAAAGTGATTAGAAGACTTGCCTTTGGTAGTTGAACTACCAATTAAGACAATTTATGAATACCTTATTTTCTTCACTTTGTATTTAATAAAATTTATTAGTGACTTGTAGTTGGTGGCTGAACCTTATTAATATGCATCCAACAACTGATCACTTCCATGTACCCGAACGAGCAATTACAAGAAGCAATACAAAGAAAATTCAAGTATCAAATCAAGAAAATAATGGAGTGGCTGACATTGGAAAATGATTAGAAGACTTGCCTTTGGTAGTTGAACTACCAATTAAGACAATTTATGAATTACCTTATTTTCTTCAATTTGTATTTAATAGCATTTATTAGTGGTTGCTGACTGAACTTTATTTTGTTAGGGTTATCTTTGGGACCTATTTAAAGGCATGTAATATTCATGTTTGGATGTTTTATGGTTGAATACGGACAAAACCTTTGTGCTTTCTTGATACCTTTTTCGTGTTATTCTTTTTCAAATCTTGCTTTAGGTTTGATGTTTAAACGGATTCATTGAATTAGTTTTGATCAAGCTAATCTGGAGTGAATTGTCTTGGTATCTAAGAGTGACCATCATAGATTCTAAGTTCGATCTAAGAGTCATTCATCTTCTAACCAGCTCTTGGTTGGAATCAATCTGTTAAGTTAGCTTTCTCTGTGAACGTTTTGCAAGGATTCTAGAAGGACCTCTAGCTTTGCAAATTCCAGCATTGTAGGCGCTTATATGATAATAATTATGGTATGATGTGTTTAAGGATATGTTTGAGATAGGATACGAGAAGGATGCATAAAACGAAATGTAGCGATAGGAGTAAAATACGTTCATGAAACGTTAAGGTTAGGTTATATACCAGAGTGATATGGATAAGAGAGATTGATGGAAGAATATGGTTAGGTTACGGGTAGAAAGGGATAGGTTTGTGATAGATTGATAGAACGATAGCATTAGGATTGATAGAATGATAGCGTTAGGATACGTTCTTGTGATGATATGACTAAGGTACGTTCACGTAATAATATGTCTGTGATCGGTATAAGAATGTTAAGGCTATGATAAGTTAGAGAACGATATGACTACGAAGTGTTTATGTTATGACTTGTTATGATATGATACATTGTGATGCAAATATGTCATGGTATGATGTGTATATGATGAAATGTTATGTTAAAAGCATAGAACATTATGTTAGGTCTCTTAAATTGTGTGTATACAACATGATATGAATGACATGAAATCACAATAAATGGCATGAAATATAACCCCGTTAGAATTATGTATGATTTGAGATTATTTGAGAACTAAAGAATGAGAAATGATGTGATATGAATGATGAACGATATAAAAAATGATATGATATGTACATAATGCTAGCGGGGTTGTATTAAATGATAATGAAAATGGAAAAGTTTTGAGACCTCATACATTATGTGTGCTCATGCATTTGGGGGGAGACCCCTATCCCATCACGAGGGTACGGACGCGTACATCCAATGGCAGGACAACGATCGTTATGCTTTGCATAGCGCTACCGTGACGGTTACTAGTTCTAGCGGGTGTCCTGCATAAGGGGCTCCCAAAGTATGCCTAGCGGATAAGGAAAGTGGCCCAGCGGTGTGTGAACTAGCTGGTGAGTCCATACTCGCACGTATGGGCTGTGTGTAGAGTATATGATACACGTCCAAAATTACCCGTTAGGACAGCACCGTAGGAAAAACGGAATGAAAGATAGGTCCCATCATCTCATTGCATGTGATTGTTGCATTTAACCCCAATAGTGGGGTCACTTACTAAGTATTTTTTTAAATATTCAAGCCATGTGCTACTACATTTTTTAGGTTAAGGCAAGGCATTCCTGTACGGCTAACGACGGCATCGCAACTCGAGATCATGGCACATGAATAGGATGTTTTAAACTTAAACGCTTATTTATTTTATTTCAAGTCCTTTGTTGTGTCGTTTTAAAGATGTTTTCAAAACACGTAAGTCCATGGCTGTGTTTTAAGTTAAAGATTATGTTTTATGGAATTTAAATGAAGTCTTCTGCATTCAATGTTTATGGTACGTATACAGTAGCGACCTTAAATTAAGTAGAAAATTTTAGGTCGTTACATTTTTGGTGTTATTCTTGTTTTAAAACCTTGCTTTAGGTTTGATGTTTAAACCGAGTCATTGAATTAGCTTTGATCAAGCTAATTTGAGAGTGAATTATCATGATATCTAAGAGTGACCATCATAGATTCCAAGTTCGATCTAAGAGTCATTCATCTTCTAACCAGCTCTTGATTGGGATCAATCCGTTAAGTTAGTTTTCTCTGTGAATGTTTGCAAGGATTCTAGAATGACCTCTAGCTTTGCAAATTCCAGCATTGTAGGCACTTATCACTTCTTGTTGGACCAGGCTTCATGTGGCGTCTTCCCGTCGAGGCTTTGCCTTGGTGATTGATTGAGAAGATAAACGGCCGTCATTACCGCCTCCCCCCAAAACCTCCCAGGCATCCCGATCGTCATCAGCAATAACCTTGCTGTCCCGACGATGGTTTGATTTTGACGTTCCACCACCCCGTTCTGCTGAGGGGATGATAAGGCAACCCTAATCCTCAACCCAACAATCCAAGCTTTTGTTGAAGCAAGAACCCTTGAAACAAAGTAATTAACACCTCCTTATACGAAATTTGGATCAACCAAGAGATAAGGCTAGAATTAGATTACCTCTTATGATCGAAGATCTAGAAGCTAGATTTGGAAACCTTGTTCTAAATTGAGTCAATCCACAATTGAACTTGATCGAGACTTGATTGAATGGCTCGGGTGCAATTCAACCACAATAATTGTTTGAAACTTAGAAAGGGAAAATATGACTTTTGGATTTCTAAGGAAACGTCTCAATTTGAGATCTAAATTACATTCATCCACGAATCTCAATTTTACATAACATATTGTGGGTATTTATAGTCTCCCGACAAAAGACATTTGCGGACGGGATTTATTCTCGATCCCCTTTAATCTCCACAAAAAAAAAAAAAGTCAAATTGACCCTTTAACTTTTACATATTTATGGAATTAAAAATAGTTCTGTCTAACAAATGTTGATGTACTTGACTAATGCGATAGGTTTGAAATCAATTGAGCTCTCTACGATGTTGTTGACATTTTTGAATCTTCATGACATTTTTTGAATCTTTTTGGCAATAGGTTCATTTGGAACACCGTGATTCTTATCATCTTCCCCCTCTTCAAAAGGATTCCTCTTCGAATTAGAAAAATCATCACCTTCTTTCCTTCACCTCTTTTTCAAATATTTTGATCAAATCTGCATGCTTCACTCACAAAAATATTAGAAGGAATAGGAAGCAAATGGACTATATTAAATCCATAAACTACTTTCTTAAAGAATAAGTCAGCAGCATGCTTTGCATCATCCATTTTGACTCATTTTAATAAATATATCTACCACAACAAAAATAAAATCTTTACCTTTTTAGTGTGTAGTAAACCAAGAACAAGTTTTATAGATATATTAGTACAAGGTTTGTTAGGTACATTCAAAGGAGTATAAAATCCGTTTGGTTGTGATCTAGATTTAGTTTCTTTGCGTTTAAAACATTTGCTACAAAACTTATGGACATCATGCTTCATCTTTGCCTAAAGAAGTGTTTATGCAACATCTTATAAACTTTATTAATCCTGAGATGTCCTATTAAGGCACCACCATATGCTTCTCTCAAAAACAAATCTTTTATATTGCATTTAGGAATCCAAAGCATACTTTCCTTAATTAAAAATTTATGAAACACATAATAATCATCCATTGCTTTTTTTGTCTAGACAAGATGCATAAATAGTTCTGAAGTACTGGTCATCTGTATATAATTCTGTAATAAGCTCAAATCCAAGAATTTTTATAGTAAGAGAAGTAAAGAGAGCGTACCTTTTAGATAACACATGAGATACCCTATTATCCTTACCTTGCTTATACTTGATGACATACGAAAATGTTTAATAAATTTCATCCACTTTGCATGTCTACGATTCAGTTTGCTTTGACCCTTCACATACTTCAAGTTTTCATGATCAAAGTGGATCACAAATTCTCTAGGCCATAAGTAGTGTTGCGGCACATGCAATATATGAACTACAACAATTCTTTATTATAGGTACGATATTTCAATGTTGCCCCATTTAGTTTTTCACTAAAATACACTAACGGCTTTCCATCTTGAATTAAAACAGCACTTATGACCAAACCACATGCATCACATTCAATTTCAAAAGTTTTATAAAAGCTAGGCAAAAAAAATAATGATGCATTGCTTAATTTCTTCCTAAGCAAATTGAAGGCATTGTCTTGCATTTCTCCCCATTTAAAAACAACATTCTTTTTCACCAAGTCATTCAATAGTTCAGTTATGGTTCTAAAATCATTTATAAATCTCTTATAGAGGTTAGCTAACTCATGAAAACTCCGAACTTTACGTGCACCTTTTTGTGTTGGCAAATCCATGATGAATTTAACTTTGTCTCTATCTAATGCTACTCTACTTTTACCAACTATGAAGCCAATAGAGTGAACTTTTTCTATGCAAAACCTACTCTTATTAAAATTAAATTTCTCTTTTTTATGTGTAATAAAAACTAATTTAATGTGCTCCACTTGTCCAAGCAAAATCTTCAAATAAATTATAATATCATCAATATAAACAATAACATGTTTTCTCGGATATTTTCTCAAAACATTATATATTAAGCGCATAGGTGTACTAGGAGCATTAATTAACCTAAAAGGCATAACAAGCCATTCATACAATCCAAACTTAATATTGAAAGTTGTTTTCCATTCATCTCTTTCCTGGATTCTAATTTATGATATCCAGATTTCAAGCCATTCATACCATCCAAACTTAATATTGAAAGTTGTTTTCCATTCATCTCCTTCCTGGATTCTAATTTATGATATCCAGATTTCAAAATAATTTTTATAAAGAGACAGGAATCATGCAATAAATCAAGTATATCGTCTAACCTAGGAATAGGATATCGATATTTTACAGTGATTTTGTTGATGACTCTATTATCCATGCTGATAAGCGCCTATAATGCTGGAATTTGCAAAGCTAGAGGTCCTTCTAGAATCCTTGCAAAACATTCACAGAGAAAGCTAACTTAACGGATTGATTCCAACAAAGAGCTGGTTAGAAGATGAATGACTCTTAGATCGAACTTGGAATCTATAATGGTCACTCTTAGATACCAAGACAATTCACTCTAGAATTAGCTTGATCAAAACTAATTCAATGAATCGGTTTAAACATCAAACCTAAAGCAAGATTTAAAAAATAATAACACCAAAAAGGTATCAAGAAAACACAAATGTTTTGTCTGTATTCAACCAAAAAACATCCAAACATGAATATTACATGCCTTTAAATAGGCCCAAAAGATAACTCTAACATAATAAGGTTCAGCCACCAACTACAAATCACTAATAAATGCTATTAAATACAAATGGAAGAAAATAAGACATTCATACAAATTAAATATAAATTGATGAAAATAAGGCATTCATAAATTGTCTTAATTGGTAGTTCAACTACCAATGGCAAGTCTTCTAATCACTTTCCAATATCAGTCACTCTATTATTTTCTTGATTTGATTCTTGAATCTTCTTTGTATTGCTTCTTGTAATTGCTTGTTCGGGAACATGAAAATGATTAGTTGTTGGATTCATATCATCCCCCCTTTCTTTAAAAGGATTTGTCCTCAAATCAAATTTTTCGTTCTTTCCGGACAAGAACTGAATATTGTTTTTTTTTTCCCACTTTTTTTTTCTCACCTTTACCTTAGTTTCTTCTCTCCACTGTTGTACTTCATATTCTTTTCTTTTCTTCTCTAATTTCAACTGGTCACAATGTACTTCATAAGGAGACAACGGAAGTAAAGTAAATTTCTTCCCACACAAAGTAAAAGTATACTTGTTCATCAAACCATCAAATGTTACCTTTCTATCATATTGCTAAGGTCGACCGAATAAGATATCCCCCGCATGCATTGGTACAACATCACAAAGGACTTCATCTTTATATCTTCCAAGAGTAAAAGAAATAAGAGTTTGGGAGTTCACCTTAATTTCTTCTTTGTTTGTCAGCCAATGAAGTTTGTATGGTTTTGGATGGGGATAGATAGAAAGTTGAAGTCTTTTTACAAGGAAGCTGCTTACCATATTTGTGCAACTTCCACTATCAATCACCAAGCTGTATGGGTTTCCTTGAATTGCTTGAAGAATGGTTGTATTAAGATCTGGTACTGGTGGTACTCGTTCTGCATTATGTGGCATTTTGTTATCAGTAATAGGGACCTCTCCACACTTCTCACCAAAATTTCACTCAGGGACACTCGTGTTTAACACTCAAAGGTACGCTTTTGGTACTAGGTCAAGAATGTAAAAGCTATTTTTTTTTCTACTAATTTTTCTTTTCTTTTCTTTTTTTCGATAATATGAGAGAGACAAAAAAGAGGAAAAAAAAAACAGTAATGATATTTCACCTCTAGAGCGGCCAAAGAACGTTGACCAAATGCTCTGATACCAAATGATAAGCACCTACAATGCTGGAATTTGCAAAGCTAGAAGTCCTTCTAGAATCCTTGCAAAACTTTCACATATAAAGTTAACTTAATGGATTGATTCCAACCGAGAGCTGGTTAGAAGATGAATGACTCTTAGATCGAACTTGGAATCTATGATGGTCACTCTTAGATACTAAGACAATTCACTCAAGAATTAGCTTGATCAAAACTAATTCAATGAATTGGTTTAAACATCAAACCTAATACAAGATTTGAAAAAGAATAACACCAAAAAGGTATCAAGAAAACACAAAGGTTTTGTCACTATTCAACAATTCCCCACAAACATGAATACTACATGCCTTTAAATAGGCCAAAAGATAACCCTAACATAATAAGGTTCAGCCACCAACTACAAACCACTAATAAATGCTATTAAATACAAATGGAAGAAAATAAGGCATTCATACAAACTATTAATAAATGCTATTAAATATAAATTGAAGAAAATAAGGCATTCATAAATTGTCTTAATTGGTAGTTCAACTACCAATGACAAGTCTTCTAATCACTTTCCAATATCAGCTACTCCATTATTTTCTTGATTTGATTATAGAATCTTCTTTGTATTGCTTCTTGTAATTGCTCGTTCGGGTACATGGAAGTGATCAGTTGTTGGATTCATATCACATGCCCATGCGCCAAGTTTCATCTTTCTTTGGCACCAATAAGTCTCGTATAGAACATGGACTCAAACTTTCTCGTATATAGCCCTTCTCCATGAGCTCCTCCACTTGCCTTTGAATTTCTTTTGTCTCAGTTGGACTGACTCGATAAGCTGACGTATTAGGAATGACAATCCTTGAAATGATGTCTATTTTATGTTCAATACCTTTAATAGGAGGTATTTCTTTATCTTGAAACATGTCTTCAAATTCCAGTAAAAGAGATTGAAACATACTAGGCAAAGACAAATTATTATCGTTAGAGACCAAACATCCTTCCTTGTACACAAGTACAAATATGGTTTTTTGTCAGAACATTGCCTTCTAACCTTTCCAACTCTAGCCAAACAACTCACATTCTTTCCTTTTTTTTTTCAATTTCATTCTTTTTTTCACTATGTTTTTCTCTTTGATTTTTCTCTATTTTGTCACTCAACTCTTGTTTTTCTTTCAACTCTTTTCCATCAAACTCGTTCTTTTATTCTTCCAACTTTAATTGATCAGCAAATACATTTGTAGAACTCAAAAGTACAAGAGTGGTTTTTCTACCATCTTTTACAAAAGAATACCTATTCAAATAGCCATCATACATAACCCTCCTGTCAAATTGCCATGGTAGGCCAAGCAATATCTCTCCAGCATGCATTGGTAAAACATCACAAAGAACTTCATCTTTATATTTTTCCAGAGTAAAAGATATTAAAGCATGAGAAGTTACCTTCATTGTTCCACTGTCATTGAGCCATTGAATCTTGTAGGGTTTAGGATGGTGTTGGGTTGGAATTAGCAACCTTTTGATCAGCATGGTACTTACAACATTGGTAGAGCTTCTACTATCATTTATGATATAAATCCAACAACTGATCACTTCCATGTACCCGAACGAACAATTACAAGAAGCAATACAAAGAAGATTCAAGTATCAAATCAAGAAAATAATGATGTGGCTTACATTGGAAAGTGATTAGAAGACTTGCCTTTGGTAGTTGAACTACCAATTAAGACAATTTATGAATTACCTTATTTTCTTCAATTTGTATTTAATAGCATTTATTAGTGATTTGTTGTTAGTGGTTGAACTTTATTATGTTAGGGTTATCTTTTGGGTCTATTTAAAGGCATGTAATATTTATGTTTGGGGATAAATTGTTGAATACAAAAAAAAAAACCTTTGTGTTTTATTGATATCTTTTTTGGTGTTATTCTTTTTTCAAACCTTGCTTTAGGTTTGATGTTTAAACCGATTCATTGAATTAGTTTTGATCAAGCTAATTCTGGAGTGAATTGTCTTGGTATCTAAGAGTGACCATCATAGATTCCAAGTTCGATCTAAGAGTCATTTATCTTTTAACCAGCTCTTGATTGGAATCAATTCATTAAGTTAGTTTTCTCTATGAACGTTTTGCAAGGATTCTAGAAAGACTCTAGCTTTGCAAATTCCAGCATTGTAGGCGCTTATCATTTCGTATCAGAGCATTTGGTCGACGTTCGTTAGCCGCTCTAGAGGTGAAATATCTTTATTGTTATTTTTTTCTATCACAAATTATTGAAGAAAAAAAAAGAAAAAAAAAGAAGAATCAGTAAAAAAAAAAAAAGAAAAAAAAGAAAAAAAAGAAAAGAAGAATCAATAGAAAAAAAATTAGTTCTGAGAAAAAAAATTATATATATTCAATTCTTATAATTTATTTTCAGCTCTTGATCCTTGAGATACTAGTCTTAGCTTGTTAGAGTTGATCGTTGAATTGGTTATAATCAAGCTTAAAGCAAGATTGCATTAAAAAAAAAAAAAAAAAAAAAAAAAAAAAAAAAAAAAAAAAAAAGCNTACCTTTGAGTGTGAAACACGAGTGTCCCTAAGTGAAATTTTTGTGAGAAGTGTGAAGAGGTCCCTTAATAACAAAATTTCACATAATGGAGGAGTACCACCCGTACCAGATCTTAAGAAAACCATTCTTCAAGCAATTCAAGGTATGATGGAAATGATGATGGAAGATAGACAAGAAAGAAGGGCGCAACAAAAAAGACAAGAACGAACATTACAAGAAGATGAAGGTATACTAGTACAAGAAAGACAAGTTGAAGGAAGATGGAGAGGAAGAAATAACCATGCAACTATTATGCAACCTAAAAGGATGGAAAGAGTACATGTAGATAGAGATGGGGGAGTTAAACTCAAAATCCCACCATTTTGTGGAACGGCAGATTCTGAGGCATACTTGCAATGGGAAAGAAAGATAGAACATGTGTTTGATTGCAACACCTATAATGAAAATAAAAAGATGAGACTTGCTATTGCCGAATTTACCAATCATGCCAACGATGGGTACCAACATCTCAAATCCGAGAGAAGAAGAAAAGAGGAGGATCCAATAGAGACTTGGGAAGAACTTAGAGAAGCCATGATTAAAAGGTATGTTCCAAAACATTATGAAAGATATTTGAAAACTAAATTGCAAGGTTTGAGGCAAGAAACAAAAAGTGTGGCAGAATATTATCAAGAGATTGAGACTATGATGGAAAGAACAAATGTTAGAGAAGAAGAAGAAGATACCATGTCTAGATTCCTTGGAGGTTTGAATTGAGAAATTGCTCATCTTGTTGACAGAAATCCACCACCATATCTGGAAGACATGTATCATTATGCTCTCAAAATTGAAGACCAATTGATGGAAGAAAAATAGCATTAAAAAAGGTACACATCACGAACTAACACGTTTTCAAATTCTAAAACTTGGAACAAGGATAGTTTTGTGAATAGAAATGAATCGATGTCACCAAAAGAAAAGTTCGTGACTGCTAAAAGAGTGGAGGCTGAGAGTTCCAATGGTAAAAAGAATGAAGCTTCAAAGATGGTAAGGAGAAGTCTAGTTCTATTCAATGTTGGAAGTGCAAAGGGTTTGGACACATGAGCAAAGAGTGTGTTAATAAAAAAGTTATGGTGATAAGGAATGGTATACTTGATTCAGATGATGAGTGTGAGGATCATGATTCACAGCTTGGGGAAGAAATCTGATAAGCGCCAACAATGCTGGATTTTGCAAAGCTAGAGGTTTTTATAGAATCTTTGCAAAACGTTCACAGAAAGAGCTAACTTAACGGATTGATTCCAGCCAAGAGCTTGTTAGAAGATGAATGACTCTTAGATCGAACTTGGAATCTATGATGGTCTCTCTTAGATACCAAGACAATTCACTCCAGAATTAGCTTGATCAAAAGTAATTCAATGAATCGATTTAAATATCAAACCTAAAGCAAGATTTGAAAAAGAATAACACCAAAAGGGTATCAAGAAAACACAAAGGTTTTGTCTGTATTCAACCAAAAAACATCCAAACATGAATATTACATGCCTTTAAATAGGTCCAAAAGATAACCCTAACAAAATAAAGTTCAGCCACCAACCACTAATAAATGCTAATAAATGCTATTAAATACAAATTAAAGAAAATAAGATAATTCATAAATTGTCTTAATTGGTAGTTCAACTACGAAAGGCAAGTCTTTTAATTACTTTCCAATGTCAGCCACTCCATTATCTTCTTGATTTGATATGCTAATGCTATAAAGATTTTTGGGATAAAAAATCTTTGTTTCAACTTGTACACTAGCTAGCTTTTGAAGATGCAATGTATAGGCCTCTCGAATCTTCTTAACCTTGCTTCTTGTAATTGGTCCTTCGGGTACATGCAAAGGGTCAGCAGTTGAATTCATATCAAAATCGCAGCATATGATGATGAGCAGGTTGAAGAAGGTAATTTCATATCTTTGATCACAAGAAGGGTACCCAATGTTCAAATCAAGGTAGAGAAATTTTGAACATCAAAGGGAAAACTTGTTCCACACAAGATGTTTGATCAAAGGAAACCCATGCAGCTTGGTGATTGATAGTGGAAATTGTACAAATGTGGTAAGCAACTTCCTTGTAAAAAGACTTCAACTTTCTGTCCGTCCACATCCAAAACGGTACAAACTTCAATGGTTGACAAACAATGAAGAAATTAAGGTGAACTCCCAAGCTCTTATTTCTTTTACTCTTGAAAGATATAAAGATGAAGTCATTTGTGATGTCGTACCAATGCATGTGGGGGACATCTTGTTTGGCCGACCCTTACAATATGATAGAAAGGTAATATTTCATGGTTTGATGAACAAGTATACTTTTATTTTGTGTGGGAAGAAATTTACTTTACTCTCGTTGTCTCCATATGAAGTACATTGTGACCAATTTAAATTAGAGAAGAGAAGAAAAGAATGTGAAGAACCACCGTGGAGAGAAGAAACTAAGATAAAAGAGAGAGATAAGAATGAAAAAAAAAAAGAGAGAATAGTGAGGGGCAAAGGATGATTGAAAACCAAGAAAGAAAAAAAAAAGTGAGAAAAAAAATATTAGTCGAGAAAAAAAAAATAATATTCAGTTCTTGTCCGGAAAGAACGAAGAATTTGATTTTAGGACAAATCCTTTTAAAGAAAGGGGGGATGATATGAATCCAACAATTGATTACTTCCATGTACCCGAACGAGCAATAACAAGAAGCAATACAAAGAAGATTCAAGTATCAAATCAAGAAAATAATGGAGTGGCTTACATTGGAAAGTGTTTAGAAGACTTGCCTTTGGTAGTTGAACTACGAATTAAGACAATTTATTAATGCCCTGATTTCTTCACTTTGTATTTAATAGCATTTATTAGTGATTGGTAGTCGGTCGTTGAACTTTATTATGTCAGGGTTATCTTTTGAGCCTATTTAAAGGCATGTAATATTCATGTTTGGGGATGAATTGTTGAATACAAACAAAACCTTTGTGTTTTCTTGATACCTTTTTGGTGTTATTCTTTTTTCAAACCTTGCTTTAGATTTGATGTTTAAACTTATTCATTGAATTAGTTTTGATCAAGCTAATTCTATAGTGAATTGTCTTGGTATCTAAGAATGACCATCATAGATTCCAAGTTCGATTTAAGAGTCATTCATCTTCTAACCAGCTCTTGGTTGGAATCAATCCGTTAAGTTAGCTTTCTCTGAGAACGTTTTACAAGGATTCTAGAAAGACCTATAGCTTTGTAAATTCCAGCATTGTAGGCGCTTATATCAAATTACAAGACTACAAGGAGTCCCCTTGACTAAACACCTTGTGTGAAATAGGTTGTCTCTTTAATCATCAACATCATTCTTAACTTGAGTTTTAAGAAGTCTTCTGGTAACAAGTACCAAATGACTCCCATCTTCCAGTTTCTCCTCATTCTCCTAGATTTCTTCTTCAACTAGCTCATCATGGT